ACAAACAGCACAAATGCCACAGGTCACACGTATCAATGATCAGAGTTTTGTGCTTGTTTTACCAGTACCTTCGGTAAAGAGCTCTGCAAAACTTGACCGGGAGGCTACTTCTGGAGATGTTTTCAGCCTCTTTTAAACTGCCTTAATTTTACCTTTTTCAGTACATTTCTTTCTAGCATTAGCTCAGATTAACCTTTTGCAGTGATTTACACAAGTTTGGCTAACATTGTTCAAAACTTAAACAGTGTTCACGATGTTATTCTCTGACTGTGTGTGGGGTTGTTCCGTGTTTTTTCAGGAGGAAACACGGAAGAAACCCAAGATGACAATAGTGGAGTCGGCTCAGCCTGGCAGTGAACCTCTCTGCACCGTGGATGTGTAATGAGAAAACGTGCGAGTGGGGAGCAATAACACGAATGGAGGAACTAGATTTTCAACAATTATTTAAACATTGTTTGCTGCAGAATGCAAGATAACTTTTAAAATCCAAGCTGCTTCAGTTATGCATTGTTCTTTTTGCATCATCAGGGCAATATTACTTTTTTCTAGTTTCTTTTGGGTTTTTTTTTCCTTTTTTAATACCTCTGAGATACGTACGTTTAAAGGATTGATCATAAAGATCTCTACTTGGGCAAATGCACAGAGGACAGGCATGTTCACACAGGATGAAACCAGTCAAGCACTTTTTCCTGGAAAGCCATCCATGCTGTTTGAAATGGATGTATTTTGAGGATAAAATTCAAAATATCTATGTACAGGTCAAAGCTGATATTATATATATACACACACATTCATATATATGTATATATAAAAGAAATATATGTACATCTTCTTGTATGAACATGCCTAGAACTATTTTTGTGAAAAGTTTTGTTGCATTTCAGCACATAATAATATGCACTGATAAGACACTTTGGTGACAAATATAGGAAAGTGATGAGCAATGCTCCTAATGCCATAGGATTAGGCCAGTAATGCTGTTTCTTTTTGTTCTGTTTTTTGTCTCCTGCCAGGCTTAGTTATTTGAGATCACAGTATGCAGATGTTTTATTACTTGAAAAGAACAAGTACACCTGGTAGTGTTGAGAGTAGCAGGTTGACTCTCCAAAAGGAATTCATTCTAAGTGAAAAGAGCCTGTGTTAGTTTACAGATCAGCTGAACAGGGAAAATATGGCCCTAGTTATTTGCTTAAAGGTGAAACCATAGTTTGAAAGGCTGTTTCAAAGCTTGGAGCCAAAACACAGCTGATGATGGTTGACAGTCTGAAAATATTTTGCCAATGATGTGTTTAAAGACTTTCCACTCCCTTTTCCCAGCAATAAAAGAACTCCTCATTTGTTCAGTGTCAGATTGCATCTGACTTGATCAATTAAGTCTTAATTAATTTGCACCATAAAAGCAAATCATTTGGAAAAGAACCAACGCAACCCTAAGAAATCTGAAATAACTGCAGCAATTTAGGTTTTTTAAGAAGATTTTGGTTTTGCTTTTTTAATTACATTTTTAGTTTTTAAAGAAAATGTGTAACTTCTGCAATGAGATTTAGAATGTAGATTTGGAATATGACATAGAGTAACAAGTAGAATGAGACCATAACCAGTTACACTCGAAAATGAGAAAATCACAAATATGCAACTGTTGTAAAACACAATCCTGGCAAACAGGCAGGACTCGCTATGTCATCTGAGGCTATATTGAGCTAAGCACAGAAGAAATAGTCGTGGCTGTAGTGAAAGCACTGCTCTCTGCTTTGTGGGTTTTGCTCTCCACACAGGCTTCTTCACTGGGTAACTGCAGTAAGTCTTCTCTTGGAGCCAGTTTTTTGTTTGGTCTTAAGGAAGAGACTGAAAGCCAAACTGATGGCAGAGCTTCAGTGATTTATTCAGGAGCTGCACTGCTCCATGTTACACTCCTCCTCTTCCTGTAGGAGGAGGAAAGAGGTTCCTTATCTGCTGCAGCTCCTGGTACTTACCTGGACAGGGATCTGGGGCTTGAGAGGGTTTTTTGGGTTTGTTTTGTTTCTTTTGGTTTTGGTGTGGGTTTTTATTTACCATGTTCCATAGAGAGTGCTGCAGTATAGTGAATTTAGTGCCTACTGGATTTTAACAGTGTTGGCATCAGTATTGTAAGACCTCCTTTTACCATGACCCTTCCGCAGCTCCTGGTACTTACCTGGACAGGGATCTGGGGCTTGAGAGGGTTTTTTGGGTTTGTTTTGTTTCTTTTGGTTTTGGTGTGGGTTTTTATTTACCATGTTCCATAGAGAGTGCTGCAGTATAGTGAATTTAGTGCCTACTGGATTTTAACAGTGTTGGCATCAGTATTGTAAGACCTCCTTTTACCATGACCCTTCCTTTCGGAAATACGTGGACTTTAATTTATATCTCAAACTAACGTTCTCTAATGTGTTGCATATAATGTTGAGGTTAAACAGGAAGAACCTTGGAGTCTTACCTGTTTCTGTGTTTGATTGATACGCTCAGAGATCTCTGCAAATAGGAAACCACCCATTTTTTTTTATTCTTATCTTTAGCTTTTCAGTTCCACAAGTTGTAATCCTGTTACAACAGGACACGGGTAGTTGGAAGACTCTACGTGAATTATTATTTAAAGAAGTGGCCTGTCTAAAAAAAACGAACACAAAAAACACTGCCTCTGCTTTTTTTTGTATAGCTTTAATAAATCTCCATCTTTTGAAGGGTATATAATATTGGTGCAGTCGTGACAAGCAGTGATTGCTGTTTGTCTCTTCGTTTTTATTGTTTATTTTTGTTTATTTTCATAAAGACAGGGCTTATATCTTCTATGCCTAAATGTATTACTCTTTTAGATAGGTTTTATTTCAGCTTATATGTTTTCAGCAGAAAAATCTGTACCTGGATGGCACTGTAAAAGACAAATCACCCTTGTAGACCTTTTTGTTTTTCTGAAATCAGAATGTCGATGCATTTGCAGGTCACCTGCAGAATATCCACGGATGCCTCACTGACCCATTTGTTCTCACTGATTTAAGAGGATTGCTGTATTACCTCAGTCTGCCACTATCAGAATCACAAGGTGACCATTGCCCTTAATCGAAATATCCAGAGATTTCATTGTGAACCAAAGCCTAGACGTATATTATGCATTCTAAACAAAAAACAAACAAAAAAGATGGTATTAGACCTTGCTGCAGCCTTTAACTGGAGAGATGTCCAGAAAATAGCGCAATAACTGCTGGAACAAACAACGTAACTGCTGTTTATGTCGTTGTGAAGTATTCTTGTGTTTTAATGTTTACTATTGTTTGGAGTGTAACAGTCTTGCATTTGCACATAAGCACGAGCTGCTGTGATAGAGGATAGATCATTGCATTAACTTCAGCTTCTGCATGAACACTTACAGTGTGACTCAAGATGTATCCTAAACTTGTCTTGTAACTCGTGTGTTTTCTAGGTAATCGGCTGTAAAGGTTTAGATCTGATTGTATGAATGCATAAAACAACTGCTGCTTTTGTCACTGATACTCGTTATTTATCCCTTCTATATCCAAGGAGGATGGGTATTTTTATAGGGATGGAGTGTATTTTTAAGAACTGTTCCATCCTTTGGGGATTAGAGTTTTTGCTTTGCATATTATGTGCTTCTCGACAAAAGTGTGGTATAATATTGACTTTAAGGATTAAACTTGTGCATTCGAATCTTCATGGTACTGACAGAAACCTTACTGTGACTTCAGTGACTAGTCAGTTGCTACCTACTGAAACACCAGTCATCAGCTTTCTCTTACGTATTTATTAAACAACTGATGAAGTAGTTGGGTACTCAGAAGTTTGGAAAGACTATTATGCATAAATTTAACTGTTGTATGTAAACTTCCACTCTCCTGTGATGCTGTTAGGCTTTATACAAATGTATTTGTAACATCCAAGTATTTAAAAGCATCATGATTATCTTACTAATTCTCTAATCTGTCCTTTGGTCCTGGAGTGAAATTTGGGAAGCGACAGCCTCCTAACTTTCCATGGGAAGAAATGTGAAGTGCAAGAAGCCATGCTGTTATTAACCAAATAAAACGATCAGTTACAGTATTCCAGTGTGTATCTGAGGAAGTGGGAAAGCAAAACAAAACAAAATCCATCCTTATTACCCAAGCAGGTAACAATGGTTGCTGTTTTGAGTTGTGTTGGGTGCAGTTGCTTGATGCCAGTGCTAAATTGGTACAACTATAAAGCCTCATTTTCACTGAGCCTCTGCTTGCTTTTTTTCTGCACAATCATATAATCCTCTGTGTTTGGTCTTTGAGTACTACATGTGTATTTTTCAGACAATTAGTTTTGAGCAATAAAGTTTGATATTATAAAATGTGCCAGTGTGATCAGTATTATGATAGCTTAAGCATATCTAGGAAAAGGAACTTTCATTCCTTGAGTCCTGTAGGTATGTTTAAATAGAAATTGAATCCATGCAGGCTCACTGGTTATGGAAGTGCTTAATCACTTCTTTGGTAAGGAATTGAATGTTTATATGGTTAAACAGGTGCTTTTATGTACATGTTGTTATAGGTGGACCTGACTGGACAGGCAGGAGATCAGCACGTATGTGGGCTGGAACAGATTTTTACATCTATTTGTTGTTCAGGCCAATTATAAGTGTGTATTAGAAGTGTCTTCAGTAACTTGAACTTCTAACAATCAATGTTACTGTCTGTCCTGTACTGTGGATCACAGTCCATTCATAATAGCTGCTTGGGCATCTGCATGGAGAGTGAATCCTGACTGGAGAGCACCTTGTGCAGGGGTGGGAGTCTCAGCCAGGTTTGTCTTCACTCCCAGGACATTCACTGGAAGTGCAGCTTTGGGTGCTGGGACTCACAGTGAAATGGTGTCCACTGTTGTGATCTGTGTGTCTGCAATCTGCCCTTGCTCTGTTGTGGGTTTGCATTAAATACAGCTGCCTTTGTCTCTCACTGCACAGGGCTCCAGCTAAAACAGAAAGGTACCTGATGAAAGATCCTTTGGAGTCTAGGGCAGAGGTTTGGTACAAAGAAACAGTGGCCAGAAGTACTTCAGTTATAACCTCAAACAATGAGTAAGCTGAGGTAATACTCTGTTTTCTCATTCTTCAGTGATCACTGAATTGCACATCTCATTTCAACTGGTTAAACAGTGAGACCACTATAGGTGTATATATATATAATATCTGTAGGGGCAGAAGGAGAAAAACAAACAGGATTTGGTCTCATAGTACATAATGCCCTTCCCTAGAAGTGTTCAAGGCCAGGTTGGACAACACCCTGAGCAACCTGGTTTAGTGTAAGGTATCCCTGCCCAGGCCAGGGGTGTTGGTATGAGATGGTCCCTTCCAACCTATTCTCTGATAATGAAATTTAATTCAAATTAGTATGATGAAATAATTTGGAAGCCTTGCAACTACTCTGTTGTACAGAGATTTATTACCTGGACATTACAGAAATGATGTTATTCACAGTGAACAAGCAAAAGTGGTTTCTGCAAAGTGTGTATCAGGAGTTAATTGACTCCCCCTCTTCAACTGCAGTATCTACTAGGCCAGCAGTTTCCTGGCTGCCATCCCTGTCCGATGGGCTGCTGCCATGCACACACTCTGAACCACAT